TCAATTAAATCACAATCTCTAAGGGAAGGACACAGTTCTTTACCCCTCATGGAGATGAGGGGTAAAGTTTCCCAGCTGATACCAACGTGAGGACAAAGTTGGGTACCACGGGTCTCATTTATAAACACAGGATTCTGTATATGATCTTATGTTACACATTTTCTTCAGATTTAAATTCCATATTCTTTTTTTTTCTTTTTTACGGCGTGATCTCGGCTTACTGCAACCTCTGCCCCCGGGCTCAAACCATCCTCCCACATCAGCCTCCTGAGTAGCTGAGACCAAAGGCGTGCACCACCGCGCCCAGCTAATTTTTACATTTTTTTGTAGAGATGGGGTTTCGCCATGGTGCCCAGGCTGGTCTCTAACTCCTGAGCTCAAGCAATCTGTCTGACTTAGCCTCCCAAAGTGCTGGGATTACAGGTGCGAGCCACCACACCTGGCCAGATTTAAACTCCATATTCTTAACTGTACTGATGCTATGTGACTTTAGTTAAGCTGCTTAACCTCTGGGAGTCTGTCTCCTCATTCACAAACTGCAGATCCTAATATTTAGCCTACTATCTTGAAAAGCAATCATGAAGATCCACTAACATAATGTATAAAAAGGGGCTTTATGAATAATTTAACACTATTCACATGTGTACCCTATCACCAGTATTCAGCCCAGCTGAGTTTCACATGAGTTGGTGATGCTAGTCAGAAAGAAAATAGGGTAAGTCATCCTGGCAGTCATCTAAGGGGTCAGAAAGCAAAACCAGAAGTATTCTAACAAACTACCTACTAGTAAAATCTTCAAAATTAAAAATACTATTGCAAAGAATCCATAAAAACAAATGCAAGGGCCTCCCCCACTGCGACGGTGATGTGAAACAGACACATATAGAGAAAGTGCTTCCCAAATCTCTAGGAAGAAAATGTGATATGACCTTGAAAATGTGCTGAGCTCTACATTCAGCTCAAGTTGCAAACGGAAATGTCAGTGTTTCATTTGCAGAGAGCCAGGCTTCAGGACAAGCGCCTGAGGTTGGTTCTACATCTAAGGTGGAGCTAATTCAGCTACTAACCATCTCGTTTGGGTACCCTCTCGCTCTGGCAGCTGGGAACTGGCAGAAAGAGAAAAGGCGGCAATGGGTCAGCCTCATCCTGGAAGGTGGCAATAGCGGAGGATGCAAGCACACTGGCGTGCTCAGAAAATGTGTCCAACACATGCACATTCACATAGCCAGACACGAGAAACCGAATCAGCTCAATCTTTCTCTCATGGTCTGAAGGCAGATGAAGATGGGGAATACATTGGGTGGAGAGTGACCACAGGGTGGGGTGGGAATTTGGTGAATGGGCAATGAGGAAAAAGGACAGAAATAAAGAAAAATCAAAACAAGATCACTGAACATGCAGAATAAATTTACTACGCAAAGACATGCCTAGTCCCCTGACAGTTATGGGAAGTTACATACAAAGCAGAAAGATTTAGGAACAGAGTGATTATCAAAATCTGCAAATAGAAGACCAGAGAGTTGGTAGATAAGGCCCCCTATTGTTTCTTACTTCTTGTCTTATTTTATTATTTTATTTTATATTGTTTTGAGATGGAGTTTCACTCCTGTTGCCCAGGCTGGAGTACAAAGGTGCAATCTCAGCTCACTGCAACTTCCACCTCCCTGGTTCAAGCGATTCTCCTACCTCAGCCTCCCAAGTAGCTGGGATTACAGGCGTGTGCCACCATGCCCAGCTAATTTTGTATTTTTAGTAGAGACGAGAGTTTCACCATGTTGGTCAGGCTGTTCTCGAACTCCTGACCTCAGGTGATCCACCTGCCTCGGCCTCCCAAAGCGCTGGGATTACAGGTGTAAGCCACCGGGCCTGGCCTTTACTTCTTATTTTAAATCAGGAACTAGGAATTCTAGTTCCTACTAGATATATACAAGAGGAGCAGGAATACATGTGGATACATAGAAGGATAGAAATTCCAACATGACTTCTATTTGAAAAGTCATTCAGAATAAGAGATGTATTCACACAGAGATTATCATGCAAAAAGCAGAGTGAGTGCTCACCTGGCTTGGACAGAGGCATGGGTGGAGGGAAGAATCGGCGGCATGGCTGAGGCGGACTGCAAAGAAAGGAAGACAAAGATCAAGACTACAAGGAGTTATTTATTTTAGAAATTCTCCCCTTTGTGCTGGACTGCAAATTGAATTTCCTTCTCTTTAGGCATTTCACAACTAGGAGTGAGAATGTATGTAAAAGTTCTGTGACAGTACAGAAGGAAAACAATGTTTTATGTATAGCTTCTAAAAGCAGGGAAAAAGAGAGAAACTGTTTGGCTTCCACATGCCCATCTCAAGACATTCCATTTGCAGATTTGAGGTTCTGGATTCCAAGTTGGAGTTTTCCAACATTAACGTAAACAGAACTGGCACACAGACATTAAGATTAACGTAATTATTCTTCTTCTTGCTGGTCACTACCATCGCTTTATACTTCTCTTTGTGTGAATGTATTTAAAAGAAAAAAAACTTTTTGTAATAACTATTTGCAGTGTAGAAATCAATAAACCCCATTTTTTCAAGAGAAAGAAAAAGACTACAGAGCTGGATGTTGATATCAACAGCATGTTTTAATTCCCTTTAAGAGAGCAGACTTTTGCATTTTCAACTCTGGCATAATACCAGATAATAGAGATAATCCTAGATAGTGAAATAGGCTAAATCTCATTTAAAAAATGTCTCCTTCTAAGTCTTAGCTAATAAATGAAATAAGAAAATTCTTCTGCCAACACCAACACTCTGCCATCACCAGAAAGGCCCACTGTTGCCTTCCTCAGCAGTTTTGATGACTGTACTTAGAGCTTCTATTTCATAAAGCTGTGGGCATTAGGAACATCTTTTTTTTTTTGAGACAGAGTCTTGCTCTGTCGCCCAGGCTGGAGTACAGTGGCGCGATCTCGGCTCACTGCAAGCTCTGCCTCCCGGGTTCGCACCATTCTCCTGCCTCAGCCTCCCGAGTAGCTGGGACTACAGGCGTCCGCCACTACACCCGGCTAATTTTTTGTATTTTTAGTAGAGACGGGGTTTCACCGTGTTAGCCAGGATGGTCTCGATCTCCTGACCTCGTGATCCGCCCGTCTCAGCCTCCCAAAGTGCTGGGATTACAGGCTTGAGCCACCAAGCCCGGCCAGGAACAATTTTCAACAATTTTCATGTTATATTCCTATCACCTCAAATTTCTACCATATTCAAAGTCTCTTCCTACAAAAAGATGGTATTTGAGATCACCCGGTCAAAATTTAATTTGTTCTATCTAAAATCAGCGACTAGGTGACTATAAGATGATGGTGAAGTTTCTAAATCCCTCAAAAGATTTCTTCCTTTCCAGCAATCGAGAAACTAAAAATCAAAACAATACCATCAAAAATGTTTGCTTATTTGGTCCAAACCTGTTAAGCTCCTGTCCTTGCAGATGAAGCGGGTGCTGCTGATAATGCCCAAAGACTTCAAATACAATAGGCTTGGTTTTGATGTAATCCACAAACGATTCAGTGATCTCCACGGCAATCTACAGCCAAGCAAGATTAGGAAAAGATTACAGGAAAACACAGATTTCTGCTTCAATCAGAACTTTAGGTATTTTGATTTTGTTTGTTTGTTTGTTTTTGAGACAAGGTCTTGCTCTGTAGTGCACGAACAAGGCTCATGCAGCCTCACCCTCCCAGGCTCAAGCAATCTTCCTGCCACAGGCTCCGGAGTAGCTAGGACTACAGGCATGCACCACCATACTTGGCTAATTTAAAACAATTTTTTGTAGAGACAGCATCTCACTATGTTTCCCAGACCGGTTTTTAACTCATGCGCTGAACTGATCCTTCTGCCTCAGCTCCCAAAGTGCTGGATTACAGGCATGAGCCACTATGCCTGGCCCAACTTTACTACTGCTGAGTGTCCAGAATCTGCTAGGCCTCTTGCAACAAAAAACAGGGAATCCCCTATGTTGTTTTTAATTCTAAAGTAATTTTTCCAAGTTTCAGGTATTCAAGATCTTCCATAATTTGCCTCAACTGATCTTGGCCCCTGTTCCCCTTCCTATGCTTACCATTCTGGCTCACTCACTCATCTGCTGCTCCTTTCACCTGCTCTCTCTTCTGCTGTGCCAAGGACTGGCCCAGGCTGCAACCCTGCCTGGAAGGCACTTCCATACATCCATGCATGTATTGACTATGGCCTATGTGCCAGGCACAATGCCAAGTTTGACACACCTTTTCTTGCTTATACTACATCCTTCAGGGAGCTTCCTATCCCCTTTCTCCCCCAACTATCCTCCCCAACAAAAAGTAACTATTTTAAGTTAGTTTTCCATTCATATAAATAACTTTCCCTTTCTCTACTCCCACTGCATTTAGTGAATATTTTCTCATGTTCATCTTTGCATGACTGGTGTTTATGTATGCATTTTATTTCCTCTATCGTAATTGGAAGCTCACTGGGAGCATCTGAGATTCATCCGCATTCCCCAGTTGTCAGGCACAATCCTTGTGCAAAGCAGCTGATCAAAGTTTATCAGATACATGCTTGCTTATATTTACATGAACATGAAAAAGAAGATAGCATATTTTGTGTTTGCTTTTTCCATCTTTGAAGTTCTCCTTTCCTCTCTTACTTTAGAGAGCAGACATGGTTAGCAAGAGAATGAGAGACAGTTTCACGTAGTAGTGAAGATCCTGAATGCCAGAGCTACATTTCTCTGAGCTTAAGTCCTATCTCTGCCTCTTGTAACACTGATGAGTAACTTTATTTTTATTACTACTTTTTTTTTTTTTTGAGATGGAGTCTTGCTTTGTTGCCCAGGTTGGAGTGCAGTGGCGCGATCTCGACTCACTGCAACCTCCCCCTCCTGGGTTCAAGCAATTCTTGTGCCTCAGATGGGATTTCACCATGTTGGCCAGGTTGGTCACAAACTCCTGACCTCAAGTGATCCACCTGCCTCCCTCCCAGAGTGCTGGGATTACAGGTGTGAGCCACTGTGCCTGGTCTGATGAGCGACTTTAATTGCTCTATGCTTCAGTCATCTCAGCTAACACAGGGATTATCTTAATCTATGGTATAAAGGGAAAGACTAAATTACACAAAAACTCTCAGAACAGTGACTAACACGAAATAAACTCTCAGTGAATGTTAGCTATTGTGATGAGGATAATGACTCTGGAACATAGCTTGAGTGAAATTTCATGTAAGAGAGGGAAGGATCTGTTTTCTTACTTCACATAGGAATACAGTTGTAAAGGGCATTAATGTGTTAATTATACTATCAGTTGCAAGGAAAACAGACTCTAAATCTTAATTTAGCTACAGAAGGTATTTGATATTTTTTATGTTATTTGCAATTGAGCAACATAAGTATCTTAGGGTTTAAAGGACAATGCATTCACTTTAACAAAACTCTTATTAAGCATGCTTATTTTTCTAGGACAGAAACACTAAAACAACTCATTGCATTCAAACTGATGGAAGATATTATTGGCAGACCAACCCACATTCCACTCACTAGGCCCATTGTAATACAGACAAGAAGGCTTGCTGCTCAGGCCACTGTGGATAACCTCACCACTCTAGTCACGCCCTCTATTGTCTACTCCCCCCACTGCACAGCCAGTGACTTGTACGTCTTCTTATCACCCTTCCTCCGCTAAGAAAACCAAGGTACCAGAAAAACATACGTTTGGCAAAAAGATCTGGCCACTTACATTCTGCACATGATAAAAGCCCAGGGGACTTCCTCTGCCATTGTTTTTGAGGGGCTCCGTGGAGAATGCTTCATCATGGCGATGCAGAAAGCTTCATAAAAAAATAAAAAGACTCATGAACACTGTATTAAATGGTTTTATCAGAATCTGTTTCAAGAGCCCAATGTGGATCCTATAGAAAGAAGCATTCCACTTAAGCAGATTCTTTAAGTTATTTACATTCCCTTGTCAAGAACCTTTTCCATATCACACAGAGGGTATTTTAGATTTTATTTCAAAAATGACTGAAAAATTAACTGATCCTATTTTAGACTTTATTTCAAAAATGACTGAAAAATTAACCGACCCTGATCTCTTAGCTAAATGGATGTATGTGCAAGAATGCTTTAGAGAGAGTGAAGAAGTGAATTCAATTAACTCCTCTTCCTTTGTAAAAGCTTTTTACTAAAAATAAAAACAATGTCATTTTGTACAGAAAAAAATTAGCAGACTCAAGCTTCCACAGTTAGTGCGAAAGCCTGTGGCTGGCATAGTTACCTAAGAGTGTTGTGGATTCAAATGTCACCTCTTCCAGGCAGTCTTTCCTGACTTACCCTGACAGTTCTGTGTTCCCACATTACTAGTAATGTTTTTTTCCTTAATAGCAATGATTTCACTGTAATAATATATTTATATGCCTCTCCCCCCACCAGACAGCAAGTGTTTTCCCACAGGTCCCGACACACAGAAGACACTCTGGAAAAATTTGTTGAACCAGTGGGCTATATTTAGTTATCTTCACAGATAGTGAGATGCTATTTTTTTCTCTTTCTCTCCCTATTATTAGTCTGAAATAAAAATAACTGCACAGTTAAAGTGGACCCAATACAAAGATTTACTGCCAGATAGAAAAATCCATCAGAAGGACACCCCTTCCATCAAGAAAAAATGGAGAAAAAGAAAATATTTTCAGTTCGGGGGAGAGACCAGTAGTATGAACTTGTTGTCTTCCAAATTAGTTCACCAGTCTGAGAACACTGGCATGTTTGTGCCAAGTGCTCCAAATCCCTGATTCCTGTATTGCTGGCACTGCAGCATTCTTGGGGTTCCCTGGTGAAAGGTGAACTCATTCACAGTGCTCTGCAGCCATACCTTCCCGGCACAGGCCAGAGGAGCCACTGTAAAAACACGGATGCCTTTGAGGCTGCTTTCAACACAAGCAACATGCCCTTTCCCCCAGAGCTAACACCAGGTGGAGATGCTGCTCTTTTTAGGAGATTGCAGGACAAAGGTCAACTCACTATTGTCACTTCAGACATCAGTTAACCAAATAGATGTTTTCCATGAAAAACATCTATTGTTTTAGATGCCTGATTAGAATAGCAACAGTTCCAAAAAACAGATTCATCTGGTCAATACTATCCTGCCTTCAGTTTGAGGGTATGAGTGAAAACACATTAAATAGGTGAAATCAATTCTCGACGGGTAATATTTCAACAATTATGAGTTGTAGCAAATAATATTAGTGGCCTACTATATAGTAATCACATTTAATTCAGATCACATTTAACTCAATTTTCTGTGATAAAACCTGTACAAAAGCTTTATAAACTGCACTAGGACCGATGGGAAGGCCAAGGCACACTCTGAGGGGAGAGGGATGGCAGAACCCAAAGCAGCCTCTTGGTGGCACCAGTAGCAAACTGAAGGCTGTAGGTACGGAGGGGTCAGACTTCAGTCTCTTGTACTGTGGCCCTTCCCAAGTACTGAAAAGACACATTGAAGTTTGGAGGTATTAAAACTGAAGATTCACAAAAAAGTGTTTTCCTGGGGCAGTCTTGAGAAGAAAGCACCTAGAGCACAGGGTTTGAGAGGGCCGCGGGAAACAGCAAGTCCTATGTGGATGACAAATGACAAGTGTCACATCTTCTCCACATACTAGCTTTTTTCAGTTGATGTAGAATTTATCCTTCTTTACATTGTTTAAATTTTCCTTTTCCCGAGTATTAAACAGGCATAATTGGTGGCCAGATAAGCCACTGCTTTCAGATTTACTAATAAGACATTTCAACATGAAGAGAACTAGAAAGACTCATCAACAGGCTTATGTGATCAGACCCTACATTCCTGGTAAAGGGGGACCGCTCACAGCAGAGCCCTGCAGCAGGGTGCGCGGCATGCTCCTCCTGCCAGGGAACCCTGTTGCATTCCAGGACAGGTTTCTGGTTCTCACTCCCATAGGAGTGATGAAAGCATTTTCCTTCAGAGACTGGTTAGTCTTTGTCTCAAGAGTGTTAATCCCTCACACACGTAACGCACTCTACAGTGCACAAGAGATGTCACCTCGGTTAGCAGCTAGCTAGGAGGCAGAGCAAAGGGGCAGCTTACTTGAACTGACAGAAGATATCTGCATACTCTGGGAGGATTCCACTGGCCTGCAACACTGTTACTCGGAAAGTGAAGGCACTGCCCAGTTTCAGGTGGTTGCCAATCTCTTCAGAAAACCCTTCCATTACCATCTTACCATCCAGCAAAGTGCTTGACTTCAAATCTAAAGAGGGTCAAATGAAGACACAGATGGTTCAAATAATGCAAAGAGGAGGGAGTTGGGCATTCTTTCCATTCCTAGTTGACGAAGGCCACTACGTCCCTTGATAACGGTCAATATTTTCCCTTTGTCGAAAATGTCCCCAAGCACAGTAAACTCTGTCTACATACCCAAGTCATTCATCCGATTGATTTCTTCTGGAGGAGTGATGACCTCAGAACTCTGACCCTGTCCTTCCACAATCCTCAACTCCTCCAAGGACAGACCAGAACGAGTCATTGCAACAGACGAAAAGTCACTCTGAAAAAAAGGCAGGGGCAGGTACATGGTAAAGTAGTATAAAAACATATTTTTCTCCAGTTGCCTTACTTCTGTTTATCTGCCCAACAAAATAATAGTGACTGGAAAATTATATGGACCGAGGGCTGTCTGAGGAAAGGCAATGAATAAAATATGAATGTTGAGTCTATACACCTTTACCTTCATAATTGTTAGACATGTCCCATATTCTATTGAACTACTCTGTGACAACCAGCACCCTATGTTTTTCAGTTTCACAGGAGAACTGGTCTCCAACGCTGAACATTCTTTTTCTTTCCACAAGGTTTTCCTTCTTCCTGACGGGTTCTCACCTGATTAAAGTATTCATTATCAAAAGATATTTTAGCCGTTCCTGACTGTCGAATTCCAGAGCCATAATCAGGAGCTTCTTCATCCGCTAAAGCAGAAAAAAAAAATTAGGAAGAATTGAGTGAGACTACACAGCGGGAGGAAGGGAAAAGGCTCTTGCTGGATTATAAACTCAAGTCCTTTGGCGTAAGAGAATGATACCAAAGTAGTAACACGGCATGGGCTGCTTCGCACTCTATTCATGTAGATTGATCAACTTCTTCAGCTCAAATGAGACTAGTCAATAAAGAAATGAGACTAGTCAATAAAGAATTGGTTTTAGACCGGGCGTGGTGGCTCACGCCTGTAATCTCAGCACTTTGGGGGACTGAGGCGGGCAGATCATGAGATCAGGAGTTTGAGACCAGCCTGACCAATATGGTGAAATCCTGTCTCTACTAAAAATACAAAAATTAGCCGGGCGTGCTGGCACACGTCTGTAATCCCAGCTACTCAGGAGGCTGAGGCAGGAGAAACCCTTGAACCCGGGAGGCGGAGGTTGCAATGAGCCGAGATCGCACCACTGCACTCCAGCCTGGGCGATAGAGCGAGACTCCGTCTCAAAAAAAAAAAAAGATTCTGTTTTATTCTTGAGATTGTTCAAATGTCACACCTAGAAATACTGACTGTCTCCATGCTGGCAAGATAATAGTCAATAATACCCAACAAGTATTTGAAAATATTATATTGTACGTGTGGAGGAGACTTCCATATACTCAATACTGGTGATTGTGTCACAAGTTTCCATGGGGGAAAGGCTGAAAGGTCACTGGCCACAGCACAGCATTTGGCAATTAAGACAGAAAGATTACAGAAAATGACCACATTCTTTCCTCAGAACATAGGCTGGATCATGGAAAAATGGAAAATACCAAAATCTTTTTTTTTTTTCAATTGTTTTTTAAGAGATGGCGTCTCACTATGTTGCGCCAGTTGGCCTCAAACTCCTGGGCTCAAGCAATCCTACCTCAGCCTCCCAAATAGCTGGGACTACAGGCACAAGCCACCATAAACAGCTTGTATCAGCTTGACCCGTGCATTACAAAATAGCAGCCAAACAAATGTCTATTATAAGTACTCTGAGAAAAAAAAAAACTAAGCAAGTCAAAGGCCTAACAATCCTTTGTTAATAATGAAGCAGTTAAGATACATTATTTAGGCCAGGCTGGGCACAGAGGCTCATGCCTGTAATCCCAGCACTTTGGGAGGCCAAGGTGGGTGGATCATCTGAGGTCAGGAGTTTGAGACCAGCCTGGCCAAAATGGTGAAACCTCATCTTTACTAAAAATACAAAAATTACCTGGGTATGGTGATAGGTGCCTGTAATCCCAGTTACTAGGGAGGCTGAGGCATGAGAATTGCTTGAATCCAGGAGGCGGAGATTGCAGTGAGTTGACATTGTGCCACTGCGTTCCGGCCTGGGCAATAGAGTGAGACTCCGTCTCAAAACAAAACAAAACAAAAGGCCAATGACTGGCCGGGTGCAATGGCCCACACCTGTAATCCCAGCATTTTGGGAGGCCAGGGCAGGAAGATCGCTTGAGCTCAGGGGTTCGAGACTATGCTGGGCAACATAATGAAACCCTAACTCAATAAAAAACTTAAAAATTAGCTGGGAGGTGGTGTGCATCTGTAGTCCCAGCTATTTAGGTGGCTGAGGTGGGAGGATGGCTCAGCCTGGAGGTAAAAGATGCAGTGAGATATGATTGCACCACTGCACTCCAGCCTGGATGACAAAGTGAGACCCTGTCTTGAAAATTAAAAAAAAAGGCCAATGACTTTTATATAGTTAATGCAAGAGCTGCTCTTTAACATGTTTAAGAAAATCTCTTTACCCCATTATTGCAAAATAGCAGTAGTCTGGACTAAGCAGGATCTATTTGTGATACTTGGGAACAATTGCTAGAAAGAAGCAATAAACGCTTTCTCCAAAGTATGTGTATTTATATTACACATACAAACTCTCCACAGTTTGTCTGTGTAATATAAGCGTGACCCACGCAGAACTGGCCTGCTTTGTCTCTAGACAAAGAACTCACAGCTCTCATTTCAGAAGAGGGTCACCTACCTGCAATGGCCTGTACAGCCACACGCAGAAATCCCCGCACTTCACCTTTCTCACTGACGATGGCCACCCTGTGGATCAGGGGCACAGGATACAGCAGATTGCTCAGGTAAACAAATGCCCTAGAGACAGAAACCAGGAGACAAATGTCAGAGCATCCATGGAGAGAGAAACTGCTTTCAGGTTCACTGAGAACATCTTCCTGCAACTGTGAGCTGACTTCTGGCCTTGTCTTAAGACCCCTTCTCAGTCCTATCCTCTCAGATTTGCCTCCAGCTGCCTTTTCAGCACAGATCATGAACAAGCAAATGCTTGGCAGAACTGTTGACGAAGACCAACACACACCAAATCACGCTCTAAAACTTAACTACTGTAGGGAGAAGAGTCACACCTGGAAGCAGACTTTCAAGATACTGCTCTATGAATGCTGCTGGGGGCAGGTTAGAGGAGCCCATTCAAGAGCTTAACCTTTTTTTTTTTTTTTTTTTTTTGAGACAGAGTCTCACTCTGTGGCCAGGCTATAGTACAGTGGCATGATCTCGGCTCTCTGCAACCTCCAACTCCCTGGTTCAAGTGATTCTCCTGCCTCAGTCTCCCGAGTAGCTGGGATTACAGGCACACACCACCATGCCCAGCTAATTTTTGTATTTTTAGTAGAGATGGGGTTTCACCATGTAGGCCAGGCTGTTCTCAATCTCCTGACCTTGTGATCCGCCCACCTCAGCCTCCCAAAGTGCTGGGATTACAGGCGTGAGCCACCATGCCCAGGCAAGCCTAACTTTTTAATTTAAGAAATTATAAAGAGCTTTTGTTTCATTTTTCCCAATAGATAAAACAGAAACCAGGAGACAAAAAAGGCAGGAAAACGGGTCAAAATACAGCTAATAACTCTAAAATAAATTCCATATCACAGCATTATGGGTCTTTATTGTTTTTTGTTTGTTTTTAAGACGGAGTCTCACTCTGTCACCCAGGCTGGAATGCAGTGGTGTGATCTCGGCTCACTGCAGGCTCCGCCTCCTGGGTTCACACCATTCTCCTGCTTCAGCCTCCCATGTAGCTGGGACTACAGGCACACACCACCACGCCTGCCTAATTTTTTTGTATTTTTAGTAGAGAGGGGTTTTCACTGTGTTAGCCAGGATGGTCTTGATCCCCTGACCTCATGATCCACCTGCCACAGCCTCCCAAAGTGTTGGGATTACAGGCGTGAGCCACCACGCCTGGCCTATGGGTCTTTATCGTTACCTTATTTATTTATTTATTTTGAGATGGAGTTTCACTCTTATTGCCCAGGCTGGAGTGCAGTGGTGTGATCTCGGCTGACTGCAACCTCCACCTCCCGGGTTCAAGCAATTCTCCTGCCTCAGCCTCCTGAGTAGCTGGGATTACAAGCATGTAATACCATGCCTGGCTAATTTTATATTTTTAGTAGACAGGATTTCTCCACGTTGGTCAGGCTGGTTTCGAACTCCTGACCTTAGGTGATCCTCCCGCCTTAGCCTCCCAAAGTGCTGGGATTACAGGCGTGAGCCACCACGCCTGGCCATTCATTGTTACTTTCAGAAATGACTATTATTGTCTGGGCCTGGTGGCTCATGACTGTAATCCCAGCACTTTGGGAGGCTGAGTAGGTGGATCACCTAAGGCCAGGAGTTCGAGACCAGCCTGGCCAACATGGTGAAACCTCGTCTCTACTAAAAATACAAAAATTAGCCAGGCATGGTGGCAGGCGCCTGTAATCCCAGCTACTTGGGGGGGCCAAGGCAGGAGAATTGTTTGAACCCAGGAGGCGGAGGTTGTAGTGAGCCAAGATCGCACCATTGCACTCCAGCTTGGACGACAAGAGTGAGACTTCGTCTCAAAAAAAAAAAAAAAAGAAAAAAGACAAACGTTAAGGGAGAGGATGACAGTTGATGCCTAAAAGGTTTGCTTTTGCTCCTAGAGTTCAAAACCTAATTCAGAATTCAGAAACGCATAAGAAAAAGGTAAATTATAGCTCTAACACTTTATATTTCAAGCAAACTAGCAAAGTCCTATCTTTGGTATTGTCTTCTTCTTCTTTCATTATTTTGTAGCTATTACTTTTTTTAAAAAGCAATAAAAACTGATGCTCACAAAGCTAAAGAGTGTTCATTCCAATTAGTGAAAGGGAAATAGAATCTAGTTCCTAGTATGATTCTGGTCTTCCCATTTGGTATATGCTGATCTTCGAACATAAGACAAAAGACAAAGATAGACACTTCTATCAATAAATCAAACAAAACCAAGTGACACACATGCTTATCTGATGCTTTTCCTGTTCTGAAACCTATTTTAAAACAAAGAGAGGAGGAGGACGGACTGGGTATTTGGGATTCAACTCAAAGTAATGAAAATTATGGAAACAGACATAATACATCACAGAAAAACAAATGTTAATATGACTAGAGCATAAATGAAATGCAAATGAAAAAATAACAAAAATAACTGCAAATGAACATTAAATCAGATGAAATAATGCCACTTCCCTTTCAGTCTGCTCCAAAGCAGGAGAGAGAAATGCTAAGAAACAGAGAGTTGAAGCTCTGGTGTAAAAAAATGTAAGAATGAAAAGTTCTAAAAAGTTCTAAACAAAACCATCAAACAACAACTACTGCAACAGAATTTAAAAGACTAAGAATTTGGCGTAAGGTATCAAATGGATAATTTCACTTTCAAAGTCAACGCATACACAGATCACTCTCCTCTATTGTGGGCACCCCAGCTAGACTTGTCCATTTCAAGGCCTGGCCCATTAAAGAGCCATTGCACATGTCCCCTGCCTGGAGTCCTCTCTGCACTTGATGCCTACACCTCATGCCTTTGATTTTTTTTTTTTTTTTTTTGAGACTGGGTTTCACCATGTTGGCCAGGCTGGTGTCAAACTCCTGATCTCAGGTGATCCACTCACCTCAGCCTCCCAAAGTGCTGGGATTACAGGTGTGAGACACCACACTTGGCCTCATGCCTTTGATTTCACATCTTCAGGTCTTATTTCAAACACCACTTTCTCATAACAGGTCCCCCAATGTTATGTGATCTCCGGCAACACACACAACTATTTCATCGTTGCTATAATTTACATTTATTTGTGCAATTATTTAATTTATGTCCGTGTCATCCATCAGACTATAAGTCTATAAGGGCAGGAACCATGTCTGGTTTTGCTCACCACTGTCTGCAGAGGGCTGGGCCACTCTATAAATATTTGGTAAGTGAACATCTATGTACCTAAGGGAACAGGAAAATGATTTCTCTCTTATCTTTAAATAGAAGTGGAAGCTTTTTCAGAAAAATGGGTTATACCAAAAGCAGAAAAGCAAAGCCATCCAACTTATACTAGGTTGATTTTTCAGAGCCAGCTCATACTAGATATTAACTACCCAGAACACATTTAGATTCCTAACTATATCTAATTTATTTCAAAAAATAGCTATTCAAAAGCAGGAGTCACTTTTTTTTTTTTTAAAGAAAGCTTATATTAAGCACACATTATATTAAAGCACTGTTTGCACACATACTAAAGATGAGATTGCCTGTCTGCCTATGGCAAAGGCTAGTCCAAGTGTGGGAGCACTGAAGGCCATTATTATAGATTTCCCTTTTTAGATAATTCTGTAATTCTATGGCAGGGACATCAGCTCCATGACTATACAATCACACATTCACTAGACAGCACCTTGTCATGTTACCAGAATATAGCCCTTAGCTCCAAATCAATGCTATATAAACATTCTATTCTGAAGCTTTTTAAACAGAATTTTCATAATTACTCTGCATTTTTGAGAATCTTTATACTTTGACCTAGCAGACTGAAGGAGAACAGGGATGAGAGAGGGGAAAATGTAAAAGATACATTAGCAGAAAGTTCAATGAAGTTACTTCAAAAAGGGAAACAAACTGGTCAACATAAAGATAAGAAAAATTAGCAAAATTATGGTGCTACTTATAGAAAGAATGTCAGTTAAGGTACTTAGAGAGATCACAGAATCATCATCTTTAACCCCCTTTTAACCCAGAAGACTAGCTTAAATATTTTACATTTCATCCCAAATTATGATGGATGGTTCATAACATCCCAGCATGCCATAAGAGAATAGCTAAAGGGACAAGCTCTTTTCATGTGCAATATAAAGTTTTAGCAGAGGCAGTCATGGCTAAAAAACAAACTTACTAATGGAATTTCACAAGAAACTAATGTTTTTTTTTCCCCCTAGACGGAGTCTTTGCTCTGTTGCCCAGGCTGGAGTGCAGTGGCGCGATCTCGGCTCACTGCAACCTCTGCCTCCCGGGTTCAAGTGATTGTCCTGCCTCAGCCTCCCAAGTGGCTGAGATTACAGGCACAACCCACCATGCCTGGCTAATATTTGTATTCTCAGTAGAGACAAGGTTTCACCATGTTGTTCAGGCTGGTTTCGAACTCTTGACCTCATGATCTGCCCACCTCGGCCTCCCAAAGTGCTGGGATTACAGGCGTGAGCCACCGCACCCAGCCACAAACTAAAAATTTTACAAGTGAATTATATTTGAAATTATATGCCAATAGGGGAAATCCAATCTTGTGAATCACAAAAACAGGAAACTAGTTACTTTCCTTACACATACAATGACACTACACAACTGGGTGATGATGCATTACTGTAAATTTTGTTTGCAGAAGAGAAATGTAGTCAAGGGCAAAAATGGAAAGCTATTCTTCACTTTACTGATTGTTATTGTATTATTTCACTTCCTCCCCCAGTCCTTTCTTACAAGGTTAGAACCTGGGAATCTAAACAAATGGAAAAGTCAATTCCTGAGCCACAGCTCATAAGTATTTTATGTGAAAATCAAAATAGAGTTGATTGCTTTATATCTACTTACATCTGATATGATTAAAAGAAATAAAACTATAAAACTAGAGACAAAACAATACATGTATCCTCAGTTAATTTCCACATTAAGCGGGATTGTCTCCAGTTACCATACAACTTCCTCAAAATACAAATGCTTCTTAGTAGAAGTCTTAACCAGGATATTCATTTTTGCTAGTGTAGATGACAGAATATGAAAGCTGAAAAAGATCTTTATGGCTCTTTATTTCTACCTGTTACTCACTTTACACTTGAGAGCCCAAAAGGCTTCAGTTTAAGTTGCTTGTCCTAGTGACAGACATGGCCTAGGACCCAAGACTTCTCCTGACAATTAGGTCAGCCTTCTCCTCACCATGTTACGTAAGATGAAGCTGCCTACTCTTCACTGCAATAGTATAGAACACAAGCGAACAGTTTTAGAAACTGCAATTAGCACTGGGACAAAGTTTATGGCCAGAAACTCTTTGGTTAATCCAATGGGCACTCTACTGTTGAACTTGTAATTTAAATCACCTCAGCATGAAAGCTGGAGATGAACAAAGACACCAGTATCAGGAACATGTGCAGAGAGAGTTCTGCATCACTGACAGATGGATGCACAAACTGAGAGCCAGAGACAATGCCTCAGTTTGGTGAACTACTCTTAACACAAAGCAGTTTCATAGAGCACCGAACAAATATTCATTGTTTTTTTTTTTTAGACAGAGCTTCGCTCTTGTCACCCAGGCTGGAGTGCAGTGGTGCAATCTTGGCTCACTGCAACCTCTGCCTCCCGGGTTCAAGTGATTCTCCCGCCTCAGCCTCCCGAGTAGCTGGGACTACAGGCACCTACCATCATACCCGGCTAATTTTTTGTGTTTTTAGTAGAGACGGGGTTTCACCATGTTGGGCAGGCTGGTCTCAAACTCCTGACCTCAGGTGATCCATCCACCTTGGCCTCCCAAACTGCCGGATTACAGGCGTGAGCCAAAGTGCTAGGATTACAAGGGTGAGCCACCGCACCCAGCCAATATTCACTGTTGATGGGGTCAATAGATGATTTTCTGAGCTTTATGATTATAAACCCTATAGGTTAAAATTTTAGCAGATGCCAAAGATCCGTAGACAGGCTCAGTGAAACTGGCCAAAGAAAGGCATCCATTTTAGGTAAAGGAGAAGCTTAACTTTCCTGATTCTTTTTAGGACTCAGTAGACTAAGCAAAAAATAAACTTAACTCTACTCCTGAATCTACTTTTGTCCTCTGACTCCTGCAGTACCACAAATTCTTCAGCCAAACCTTGGCCTCGCACTGCCCCCTCTCTCATGTTATCTCCATATGCTTTTTCAATCACAATCCTTTGAAAAGGAAACATCTAGACCACAATACTATTCACTGAACCCACCACATTTGACTCTTAGCTTTACTTTCTCCTTTGGGGTTCCCCTCCTCAGAACAAAATTACTGGACAATTTAAGACAAGGTGTCTTCCATGCAGTCTTCATATATTGCTGCGTATTGTGCTGAGCAGACTGAGGACCTCACACACAATGCCTGAGAACTGTCTCAGCCAGACCAGCACTGACAAAGAACTTGAAGTATTGGAGAACTTGAAAAAGAGCATTCATGAGTTGAACTGGCTAATGCAAGGTTATCCAAAATTGCGCAAGCAGGGAGGCCTTCAGAGCAAGAGCTGGTCCCTTTTCGCCTTTCTCACAATAACCTCACCAACCTTCCCACTAAAATGAACCAAGGGGATCGGTCGTAAAACGGGTCATGCCCGTCACTGAAGAGATCTGATCCCTCCTCCGTCCCTGCGTCAGAGCCGGCGTCATCCACGAATGCCTCATCATCAAAATCCTCCATCTCATCTTGCTGCTCGTCAGCCAGCTCAGTGATGTCGGAATCAGCCGTGGAAAAAGTGGGGGAGGGTGTGCGGTCGGCAAGGCGCTCATTCACACAGCCGTGGAAAATGGGGGAGCTAGACACCAGGTAAGACGCCAATTAACACAGCCAGGGAGAGAGGAATAGTTGGTTAAACAGGAAGCAATAGGTGCCAACAGGACAGAATCCACTGGGGAATCAACACAATAAAAGCAAATGGAAAAGCAAAAGGATAAAATAAGCATAAATCATTTGGGTCAGGTGAAAGGGAACAAGGGCAAGTTGAAAAAGTTACATAAGGACTGATCCTTAGAATAAGAAAAGCAAAGGAAACACGTGAGTAGACCATCCTAGGTAAATACTGTACTATAACACGTTTACATTCTCCAGTTCACATAAAAGATCAGCATCCAGGCCTCCAAGGACCCACTCAACATCAAAGTGAAACAAGAAGGCTTTCAATCTTTACTGAAATGCTCACGTCATCTTGGAGCAGAAACCAAAATGGATGAAATGGTATATGGCAAAGCAGCACATGCTTTGCTAGGGTAAGATGTGTTTGGCCAATTCATCTCTTAGAAAAACTACTTTGCTATCAGAGTAGAGTGGAAAAGATTTACTTCATTTCCACAACACACTATGACTTCAGCAACTCCTTTTTACCCAGCCTCTTTAAAAACCATCACAGGGTTTTCTTTTCTTTTTTTTTTTTTTTGAGACAGAGTCTCGCTCTGTCGCCCAGGCTGGAGTGCAGTGGCGCAATCTCGGCTCACTGCAAGCTCCGCCTCCTGGGCTCACGCCATTATCTGGCCTCAGCCTCCCGAGTAGCTGGGACTACAGGCGCCCACCACTGTGCCCTGTTAATTTTTTGTATTTTTAGTAAAGACGGGGTTTCACTATATTAGCCAGGATGGTCTCGATCTCCTGACCTCATGATCCACCCGCCTCAGCCTCCCAAAGTGCTGGGATTACAGGCGTGAGCCACCGCGCCCAGCCCATCACAGGGTTTTCTGCAATTGAAAAAGCAACTCAAATTCTGAAATCGTAAGCTCAAAACTTAAATTTCCCTGTTTTGAAAATTTGAAACCTCTAAGAACTTGATTCAATATGGACTCATAGAGGCACTATGTGTTTTCATTAAGTGCTGGAAAAATGTATAAAATATGAGGCTGAAGGGGACTACCAAGGTGCAATTCACCCTTGCAATGACTAAAGTGCGATGAATCGCCTTTTAAAAAAAGGAAGAACAAATCAGATCATGAAGAGATTGTGTCTGATAAACTGTACTATGAATTTAAACTATGTAGGATACAGGCATAAGTTTTCTTTTCCTTCTAAATTTATCTTAAGTACAGAACACTTCGTAAGTTTAAAGTCAGGGAAGATTTAAATACTTTGGCTGAAAGTTTGAGACTCGAAACAAAAATGCCTGCTGAATATCACTGAAGGGAAATACACCAAATGATGCAGTGGTTGTGAGTGGATAAGATTATAGACAAGGCCTTTTTACACTCTTTTTTTCCTCTTAAATTTTTATATTATCTGCTCAGGTTTGTTGAATAAAACCATTATTTTAAAAGAAGATATCAACAAAATCATCACATACCTCCCCACAAGTTTAAACCAGTGGAACCGATCATAGAAGGGATCGCTGCCAGTCACAGTGGTCTCGCTTTCGTCTTGGGCACTGGAGGCCATCTCCCCTGCCCTATCATACATCTCTCGCATCAAATCCAGCCTCTGCCTATTTAGTAAACACAAAGCACATTGGGTTAATATAATGAAATTGCATTAACCTTTCACTTTAGAAGCATCTTCCATTCAAGATTTTCTCAAAAAAAAAAAAAAAAAAAAAAAAAAAGGAGTTTCTCCCACTATTTAATGTTACTTAAAAAGAATGAAGGCCAAAAGTACAGAAGCCAACACTCAGTATCCAAAGTGTCTTGATTCTAGAGATAAGCCATCAAAAGTTAAGAATGGCCACCTATCCTCTACCGGGTGAAAAGTCATAAGGGGGAATACTGTAGGTCAACTGTATGTGACACCTCAAATACACTGAGACAGGGGGAGGTATCTCATAATACTAAATATAAAAGAAGCTAGATTATAACTTCCATGTTTATTATTGATTATCCTGAGGTCCAGGATAGAAAAGATAAGTTTCAAATCTGAAACAGAAATATGATGAAACTGGAAAATTTAAAATTTAAAAGAGGGTCTATGGAGGGTAAACTTAAATATCTACAAATGTCAGAGTTGTATGAGGAGTGCAATTTATTCACTTAAAAGAAAACGGATGGTAATACCATTGGCCAGCAACAGCGTTTAGAGAGTACAGGGAAGGAAGCAACCGTGTCCTCAGAGAGAGGAAAGTTGGAAGGAGCTCACTTGAGCAAGTCATTGTTATTTCCTAAATAAAACAATCAGCCTTTATGAATGTTTTCATACTTGAGTTTCTCCAAAGACCAATAGTGTGTTGCTCCATTCTTCAAATCCTGGACTTCTACTGCTACCACCGTGCGAGGGAAAGGCCTGTCCTCGTGAGTTTTTTCCATCTCAGTGGGAAGTAATTCAGGAGTCAGAGGGGAGTACAGTGTGTCAGTCAGCAGAACAAACTGAAACTGCACCTGAATGGAAAGAATAAACCATTGACAAATGGTTTTCAGCAAGCAAGCTTCAGAGAAGATGATACAATCATGCCCAACGGGAAAGAGGTCAAATGTGCTGTATGTGCTCAACAAATAGCTTGTGACTAACTGAAAAATATGGCCACCTGTTAGCAGTCACAGGGAATAACCCTAACTTCAAATCAAGCTATTTAAGGACTTTGTTTTCCTAGTCTGGCAGTGTTTTTGCACATACTAAAATCTTCTTCAGGGGGAAGGCACGGAGGGGACAAGGTTACACTCTGTCACCCAGGCTGGGTGCAGTGGTGCAATCACAGATCACTGTAGCCTCCACCTCCTAGGCTCAGGTGACCCTACCACCTCAGCCTCCTGTATAACTGGGACTACAGGCATTCATCACCAGCCCAGCTAATATTTTTTTATTTTTTGTAGAGATGGGTTTTTACGATGTTGCCCAGGCTGGTCTTGACCTCCTGACCTCAAATGATCCACCAACCTCGGCCTCACAAAGGGCTCAGATCACAGGCACAATCCACCATGCCTGGCATAAAATCTTGATAAATATATTTTGATTGACTGAATGAAGACTTTTAATAGAATTTATACCAGAGACCAAAAGGTGGACCACAAAATGCATATCTAGTCCCTCACTAATGAGAGAGGATGAAAACACAGCAAGGTTTCCTATTTTAAATTCAGAGGATTGCAACTACTGCTCTTAAAAGCGTTTATCTGATTGGACATGAAAGTTCACACCTGTAATCCCAGCACTCTGGAAGGCTGAGGCAGGAGGATCACTTGAGCCCAGGAGTTCAAGACCAGCCTAGGCAACACAGTGAGACCCTGTCTCTACAAACTGAGCCCAGACCAGGGCTGTAGTGAGCCATAATTGCGCCACTGTACTCCAGTCTGGGCGACAGAGCCAGATCCTATCTCATAAAAAAGTGTTTACGGCCGGGCACGGTGGCTCACGCCTATAATGCCAGCACTTTGGGAGGCCGAGGGGGGCGGATCATGAGGTCAGGAGATTGAGACCACCCTGGCTAACACGGTGAAACTCCGTCTCTACTAAAAATACAAAAAATTAGCCAGACATAATGGCAGGTGCCTGTAGTCTCAGCTACTTGGGAGGCTGAGGCCGGAGAATGGTGTGAACCCAGGAGGCGGAGCTTGCAGTGAGCCGAGATCGTGCCACTGCACTCCACCCTGGGTGACAGAGCCAGACTCCGTCTCAAAAAAAAAAGTGTTGATTATATGGTAAGTACTTCATGACATTGCATCATTTATTTCTCACTACCACGTTATATTTTCACCAACAAATTATTATTAAACAATTATTTAATATTAATTAAATGCTATGCACAGCAGTAAGAAAAAAAGACAGTTACTGCCTTTATTTAGTCTACTTCAGGAGTGGCTAATAAATAATTATAAAATGAGAAAGGCTGCCGAGATTATGAATGAAGAAGATATCTTATTCCCTAGAACTAGAATTTAGTTCTAGGAGAAGATAATTAATTTCCCCAAAGTCAGGTGGTCCGTGCTCTTACCTACTACACAATATGGTCTTCCACTGTAATCTTAGCAGTGAAGAAACTGATAAACAGTGGAGCGTACAGAAGACTGAATCTAAGGTTTGGTGTGAAGTTGTGGTAATACTTACAAAAATGAATAACATTCACTCCTTTTACCATGCCAGGTACTATTTTAAGTGGTTTATGCATATGCCCATTTTCATTCCTCACAAAATCCCTTGGTGCCAGGTACTGTTACCAACCCCATTATGTAGATGGGGGAATGGAGGCACAGGGCTACCGGGATCGACACCACTCATGGAGCTGGGACTGGAACCTGGACTGTCTGGGTCCAGGGTGCGTGTGTTTGTCCGCTACACAACAGTGCCTCACAGACCCCAGAGGGGGAGCAGATCAATGGCAAAGAGGCAAAGCAAACATAGAGGTGCAAACTTAATAATAGAAAAGCAGAAGAAAATTAAAATTATTCAGAAACCCAAGAGAAGTATTTTTCTACTACTATGTTTCTCCAGTTTTTGTCAGGAATATAGTCTATTTGTAAAATAAGCTAGAAAACATCTGTTTTAAAAAAAATTTATTTAACGAAAAGTTAAGTAGTACCTACTATGTTCCAGGCACACATATGAAATAAAGACATATATAAAGCTGTTTTATAGCACAAAGCTGCTGAGTTCCCCCAAAGGAAAGGTTAATTTAGGGTGAGAGCCCTGATGCACCCACAGCAGGCTCGGCTTTGCCTCCAGCTCTCCTGCGTCCTCCTGCTCCATACCTTCTTTTTCAATTCCACACTGATGGCATTGGCCTCCTTTAGGTACACGGCATTGCCCCAGAGTAAGTCCCGTAATGAAGTAAACTGATGAGACTTCCATTTCCGGAAGGCCCATTGGGCTAACTCAAATTCATGCTGTGTCCAAGGAACTGAAAGAATGAATGATGCATATTTAAAGGCAATCTTACAACTATATAAAAATTACATCTCTCTTCTAGCTTATCTCTTTTATCAAGGTGAGATGTTTTCCAGTTTCTCTCCATTCAGCTGCTTTTGTTTCTTCTTTTTAGTAAAGCTTACCAAATTCTGTTGATACTATGAAAGCAATATACACTTTTCAGAAAATCTTAAAAAATCTTACTTTTGGATTTATTTAAAATAGAATAAGAAATAAATTTTTCTCTGTTTTTTAAAAAAGGTATGATTATAACATGTGGCCACGATAAAAAAAAAAAAAAAAAAAACCTCCTGGCTAGGCGCAGTGGCTCATGTCTATAATCCCAGCACTTTGGGAGGCGGAGGTGGGCATTCAAAACTGAGGCCAGCCTGGCCAATATGGAGAAACCATATCTCTACTAAAGTTACAAAAATTAGCCAGGCGTGGTGGCACGCACCTCTAGTCCCAGCTACTCCGGAGGCTAAGGCATGAGAATTGCTTGAACCCAGGAAGCAGAGGTTGCAGTGAGCTGAGACTACACCACTGCATTCCAGCCTGGGGGACAAAGTGAGACACTGTCTCAAAAAACAAAAAAAGACAAACTCCTGACCTCTGTTATATTGTATGACTTCATGTATTTATTTTTTTCTATTACAGAGAGAAAAAAGGTAACATCTTGCTTATTTAAAAATAAGAAATTGGCTGGGAGCAGTGGCTCATGACTGTAATCCCAGAACTTTGGGAGGCCATGGCAGGCAGATCTACCTGAGGTCAGGAGTTTGAGACCAGCCTGACCAACACGGTGAAACCCCGTCTCCTCTAAAAACACAAAATTAGCCGGGCGTTGCGGCGCATCCCTGTAATCCCAACTACTTAGGAGGCTGAGGCAGGAGGCGGAAGTTGCGGTGAGCCAAGACTGCACTATTTATTGCACTCCAGCCTGGGCGACAAGAGCAAAACTCTGTCCAAAAATAAACAAGTAAATAAATAAATAAGAAATGTAATACATAACTTAAGAGGTCCTTCAAAGTTAGTTTGAAGCCTTGAGATTGCCAAGAGGTTGGGTGGAAAAATGAACTGTGATAAGTGTTTATACTGCATTATAAGGCAATGAGTAACAATGAAAGCCCTAACTCAACTAAGAAATGCTGGAAAATGTAAGATAGGCAAACATGACTAAGCAATATGACTAGAAATTTGCCAGAAATGGCTTCAAATTGAACAGACTGTCTTCACAAAGATTAAGCTCTATATTTTTAATAGGTATATAAAAGTCATATCTACAGTAATATGAGAGACAGTGCATGTAAACTTTCTAAGGGATTTAAATCAAGATGTGCTCAGAAACCTTGTGAAGGTCTAAGAACACTATCACCCCCATTCCCACCTCATAAAATACAGCCTGGATTCTCAACACTGCACATCTATTCAATCATCTGTAAACTGGCTCAGTAAAATGTCGATAAATGATAGGTCCAACTAAGAGGAATTCAGCTTTGATTATGCATAAATGACTAATTTGATAATATAACTTCAAAAAGATATACACAGGAAAGTTTCAGTCTCTAGATTTCACCTTCTTCCTCCTCTTCCTCCTCTTCAGTTGTTTCTGCAGCCAGGGATCGGGTTTCAACCTGCTTCTGCAAGGCCTGCAATTTACTCTCATAGTCCTGAATGAAAAGAAAGGAGATAACATGTAGGAGTGGGAAGAAATAAGAGGGCAGGGAAAGAGAAATGGAAGGAATATTGGGGGAAGTAGAGAAAGCAAAGGACAAAGAAAAGAGACAAAGGCAGGAAACAATAATAAAAAGACATACAGAGAAATGTTCAGGGAAAAAACCCACAAATCACACAAGATGGTCTGTAATGTGAAAAAGAAAAAACCCACTACAGTATGTTTCTACTTCCTCAAAGACTCAAGAGTTCTTTACCTGGGGTAGTGGTAGGAGAAAGTGGGAATTTTTAAGTGAAATAATGTGTGTATACCTTAAGCATTAGAATATATTCAGGTAATATATATCAATAAATTCCAGAGAAAAACAATATTAAAAAAGATTAAAGTCACCAGTATCATTAAAAATCTCAATTATCTAACTCTTTGGAAGGAAAAAAAAATTAAGATTGTAGACTTTGATGCTTCCTATGGGTGAAAAATTACTATCTTTGATCAGTAGGATGAGTTTAGCCTTCAGGTAACCAAAAGCTCACAGTGCTATTAGGACTGAAATAATTTATAGATTGCAATTAGTTATTCAAGTAAGACACTTTATTTTCAATATGCAATTATAAGATGGATTACTGACCGGGTGCAGTGGCTCATGCCTGTAATCCCAGCACTTTGGGAGGCTGAGGCGGGTGGATCACCTGAGGTCAGGAGTTCGAGACCAGCCTAACCAACATGGAGAAACCC